CAAGATTGCTTTGGCTATTTGGGTCTTTTGTGTTTCTGTAAAAATTTTAACATTTTTTTCTTCCAGTTCTGTGAAGAATGTCAGTAATTTGATAGGGACTGCATTGAATCTGTATATTGCCTTGGGCAGTATGGACATTTTAATAATATTTATTCTTCCAATCCAAGAACATGGAATATCTTTCCATTTGTTTATATCGTCTTCAATTTCCTTCATCAGTGTCTTACAGTTTTCGGGGTACAGGGCTTTTGCCTTCTTGGGTAGGTTTGTTCCTAGGTATTTTATTTTATTTTTTAGAAAGTTGAAATATGATTACACAAGTAACATTGTGTGAGTTTAAGGTGTATATGTATTGATTTAATACATTTATATTGTAGGATTGCCATTGTAGTATTAGCTAACACAGTGATCAGTTTTTCTAGTGGTGGGAACAATTAAGGTCTATTCTCTTAGCAAGTTTAGTGTTCATAATACAGTTTTGTTGTCTATAATCACTGTACTGTGTATTAGATCTCCAGGGCCATGGTATTCTTGAAACTTCTAAATTGGTAGGAAGCAATGGTTTAGAAGTCTGAAGGTGAGGCAAGAGGAAAGTCTATTTCCCATTCTACTATCTGGACCCGTAAGAGGGTTGTCATTATTGTTGAAACTTCACCACATTCTGTGGCTTTGGCATGTGGCTCACAAACCTTTGAGGATGTGAGTTCATCTTTATCACTATAATTCAATCCCAGTTTTTTAAAAAATTGAAGTATAGTTGATTTACAATACTTTATTAGTTTCAGGCATACAACATAGTTATTCAATATTTTTATAAATTATACTCCATTTAAAGATACTACACAATACTGGCTATGTTTCCCTGTGCTGTAGAATATATCCTTGTTGCTTATTTACATTATACATAATAGTTTGTATCTTTTAATCCTCTACCTTGTCTTGCCCCTTCCACCTTTCCCTCTCCCCACTGGTAACCACTAGTTTGTTCCTTGTATCTGTGAGTCTGTTTCTTTTTTGTTATATTCAGGAATTTATTTTTTAGATTCCACATATAAGTGATAACATACAGTATTTGTCTTTCTCTGTCTGACTTACTTCACTAAGCATAATACTCTCTAGGTCCATCCATGTTGTTACAAATGGCAAAATTTCATTCTTTTTTATGGCTAAATAGTATTCTATTATATATGTACACCACATCTTTATCCATTCATCTGTTGGTGAATACTTAGGTTGCTTTCATATTTTGGCTATTGTAAATAATGCTGCTGTGAACACTGGGGTGCTTGTATCTTTTTGAATTAGTGGTTTCATTTTTTTCTGATATATACCCTGGAATGGAATTTCTGGGTCATATGGTAGTGTTTTTTTTTTTAGGAATCTTCATACTGTTTTCAATTATGACTGCACCAATTTTCATTCCCACCAACAGTGTATGAAGGTTCCCTTTTCTCCACATCCTCACCACCATTTGTTGTTTGTGGTCTGTTTGATGACAGCCATTCTGTCAGTTGTGAGGTGATATCTCACTGTGGTTTTGGTTTGCGTTTCTCTGATGATTAACAACATTGAGCATCTTTCCATGTGCATGTGGGCCATCTTTATGTCTTCTTCGGAAAAGTGTCTATTTAAGTTTAATCCCA